GAACGAGCGTGGCTCATGAGCTCGGGCGTCCTTCTCTTGAGATCGAGGCGGGCAGGGGGCGCTGGCGCTGGAAGCGCCAGAGGCGGCGGCACGGCAATGTGATCATCGCCGTCTGCATCTGGAGGGCCGCCTGCAACCAAACCCCCGATCGCCAACGGCATCGGCACATCCTCGATGTGTTGGTCCATGCTGGGTGCGACACAGAAAGTGAAGCCTCAACACAGGGCAGGGGGCCTCAAGCACTGCAAGCTGGAAGCAGGATCTCCTCGGTTTGAGCCAAAACGGCAATACCATCACATCGTCACATCACCACATCAACATTGAACGTATCATCTGAGCATGGTCGTTGTCCACTGCCCATACCGAACCCCATGCCGAGACGTAGCAAACACTGTTTGAGGAGAGGTTGCAAGCACTGCATGGGGAAACGCTGCAAGCACTGCGCCGAACATAGTACCAACGACGTTTTGTAGTAGAATTGCAAGCACTGGCTCGGACACTGCGCCAATATAGACTATGCCCAATTTGGTAGGCATCAACATGTGCCTGATTGATGACTGCTGGCGGGGGGGCATGTGACGGAGGAGGAGGATGAGGAGGAGGGTGAGGATTCCAATAAAGAGTTTGAGACTGAGGGGGAGGAGGAGGAAGAGGAGGAGGAGGGGGGGAGGAGCAGGAGGAGCAGGAAGAGGATGAGGATACGGATGATGCAACGGAAAAGAAGGAACGGGGGGGAATGGGGGAGGAGAAGGAGGAGACGGAAGACGGTGATGATGACGATGGTGACGATGGTGGTTATAACGATGTTAACGGTGAGTCCTTCTGAGAGCGCCACGGGGGCATTGTTTCCACCGCTGGGTTGCAGAGACACTGCGCACGCTGTAAGACGTTCCACGCCCCGCAGGACACTGCAAGCACTGAAAGGCACTAGTGAGACGTTGCAAGCACAGCCTGGACGATTCAAGCACCGTTTGAAGAGCCGCTGCAAGCACTGAGAGGGGAACACTGGCAAGCACTGTTGCCGAGGACGCTGCAGGCACTGTTTTTGGAAAAGCTGCAAGCACTGTTTGAGACACGTTGCAAGGACTGCCTGGGACATGTTGTAAGATCTGTTTGGGGAAGTGTTACACATAGGAAACGTTGGTTGAAACGGGGGGGGCTAAATAATGAGACGAACTGGGGTACTGGGTACATGAAGACGGGGGGCGGGGATGAACGAGGGAACAGGGAGGCATAATGCGAGGGAGCTAGTTTTTTGCGAGGTCGCGTAGCTCAGCGGTCAGGGCACCGACGCGGGACACAAGGGATTGCCATTTGTCAAACGAATCAAAACTCAACTGGTGCCGCCACCCTGCGCGCCGCATACGGCGGCTCCGCGGGAACAACACGGCTACAATGATGCAAGTGCGGCGCAATTGCGCGACGAAAACAAAGCATCGCGCCCCGCGTCGCTGCCCTGCTAAAGCGACGGGGCACAAACAAACAGGAGCGACCAAGCGTTGGGTGGGGCGCGCGCCCACGGCAAACAAACGATAACTTTCCGCGCAACTAACGCGGGCCTCTGCTGAGACCCGCGGCCCCCATCGCAAAACTTGACCACGAACCACACAAACCAGTGCCGACGCCGCGAGCAGCGAGGATCGCCCGCAGACAATTCACGAACAGATTACACAACTGGCGCGTCAATTGCGATACAGCTAGCGGATGTCAGACGCAAGGGCGGGGTAGACAGTCGAAGCACCAATGCCACTGTCATTCAGGGCGGCCGCAGAAGACAAGAGTCGCACCAGCGAGCGGCGCATCGACAATGATGCCCCTACCGCCGTTGGCGGCAGAGGCATCGAGCGAGGGGGCGGCGCGCGCCGACTCTCAACGAGACGCTGCCCCGAACTCAACCGACACGCTCGCGTCTCGTAGCAAGCGCGCCGCAGTTGCAAATAGAAACGGGTGGCTCGCACGCGCACAACAAATGCGAATCGCAGGCAAACGTGGATCAGATCGTGCTGCTTCTAAGACAAACATGCAAGTTGCAACGAAAAACACATGAATATTGCATGTAGTTCGCATACCAAGAAGTTGGATGGTGGAGCGAAATGACCCTGCAACTTCCTCGATTTCCTCCATTCTATAGAAACCACCGAACTCTGACCCCCACGGCTACACAACAGACACGCGTCCCTGAAGACAGGATACAAGGATACCCTTGACTTGGCAGGGTCGACCTGCTAATCAAGGCCGTCTGTATGGGCCGACGCCTGTGCGTAGACGGTGGGGAACCAGGGGACGTATTGAAACTCGCCGGTCCATCGGGTCAGCGGGGTGCAGAGATCCCCGTCAACAAGACTTGGCGGTCAGACTTCGCGCGCGCGCGCGTGGCCGCCCTTCGGGGTCCCCCGTGCGGACCCCGAGCAAGTTCTGGCGGTGGTCTGTGCAGCTGCCGGAGTTCCCGCGGGCTGTCTTCAAGGCCCCTCAAAGCGCCCCGGGAGCGCCCCGAAAGAACCCGAGGGAGCCCGAAGAGGTCATTCGAGTCGGGGCCACGGGTGGCAGGTTCCTCGATAGCCTCCGTACGCCCCCGCCAGGGTTCAAAGTATCCTCCGACGAGCGGTCGGGTGAGCGCAGCGCGATCCACCGCCGATGGCCTGCGACATTTTAACAAGGTGGGGTCGGAGACCACGGGGCCACCCCCCTCTCCCCCCTTTAGAGAGATCCTTGGGGGGGGGTCAGAAACCAGGCCCCCACCCCCCACCTTCCCCCACGAAGCCCCCTCCCCCCCCGCAAAAAACAGGGGAGGGGGGGCCCGCCCCCCCCCCCCTCCTGTGGGGAGAACGAGCCCCCCCACCGCAAAATGTATCGGGGGATCCAGATACTCCCCCCGACGCCTACGCCGACGACGGCGACAACGTCAGCGGCGGCGGCGGCGCAGCTGTCGCCAACGCCCGCGCCAAACACTGGTTCTGACCTAATGCTACCGGGACTCGATCCAGCTCTCTCAGGCTCCTGCCAGCCCGACTGTGCTCTACCTTACTTGACATTGCCCTACTCAACTCTACTCCGCTCCCCTCTACTCTACCTTACTCTACTCTACCTTACTCTACCCTAACCTACCCTATTCTACTCTACCGTGCTCTAACACACTCCACCCTACCCTACCCTATTCTAACCCACCGTACTCTAGCATATTATACTCTACTCCACTCAGCTCTACTTTGCTCCTGATATGCTCCGACTCTTCTCAGCTCTGCTCTACTCTAGTTGATTCCTGCTCGACCCTACTCATCGACCCTACTCTTCTCTCATCGACTCGACCCTGGCCCAATCTAATCTACATCTCCCTACTCTTCTCTTTTCTAAACTGTTCTATTCTACCTTACCTTGTCTCACCATGCTCGACTCTTCTCTACCCTAACCCTACTCTACACTGCTCGTCGACGTATTCGTCGTCGTCTTTGTCGGCGTCGGCGTCGTGGTCGGCGTCGGCGTCGGCGTGGTCGTGGTCGTGCGTCGCGCGTGATGCGTCGTGCTTGGTCCGTCGTGCGTCGTGCGTCGTGCGCCGTGCGTCGTCGTCGTCGTCGTCGTCGTTCGCGTCTGCGTCGTTTGCTGGCGGCGGCAACGTCGTCGCTCTAAACCTCCTGAATCATTTTCAGAGGGGGTGGAGAAGTTCCTTCCCCCCCTCCCTGTTTTCTTTTGGGGGGGCAAGGGGCTTTGAACTCCCCCCCCCCGCAAGTAGCGGCAGAAAGTGCCCTCTCAAATTACCTAATACAAATCCAAGGGGCCTCCAAAAGGCCAGAATTCATATCATACGTTTGCGTTACCGCTTGTCCGCCCTCCGACCGTCTAAAACGGCCCATGCAGCCTCCCAGATTGACACAATTCTAGCCAAGACGCGCCCATGACGGCCCAAGAGGCCCCCAAGATGGCCCCAGAGGCGTCTTAAGAAGCCTCCAATCCCACCAGGAGGGTCTCAAGAGGGAGAACCCGAACTGAAACTTCAAACCTTTTCCTAAAGAATTGCCCCCACACGCCGCCAGAAAGCTCCCAAGAGGGCCCCAAGAATCTCCAAAAGGCCCCCGAGACCCCTCCGAAGAGGCCCCGAGATGCCCCCAAAATACCTCCAAGAGGCCCGACGAGGCTTCAAAAATGCCTCTGCGAGCACGCAAGCAAGAGCCAACCATGCTGCAATGAGCCCATAGGAAGCTCCCAAGACGGCTCAAGAGGGCCTCAAGGGGAGTCCAAGAGGGGCGCAAGAGCGGGGACACGAGTAGCCATTTCGAGCCCTCTGCCTGAGACTGATCACGCAACACTTCCGGCACACTACCACCACCCATCAGCGCCTCAATGGCAACGAACACGCGGGCAAATGCCAGCGACAGAATAGTCTTGGCAGGCGGAATGAGCGACGCGATTGAAGAAGGAGGGGCGCCATGAAAGATGGGGAGACATCGTGGCCCCGGCCCATGATCTCCCCCCCGAGTCATCGCCCCCCTGTCGGCCGAGCCCGATTCCCTGCGATCCTGGCGTCTCATTTTTTCGAGTCGTGAGTTCCTCCGCGCCCGGTTTCGGGCCCCCCGGTGCCCTCGCAGAGATCGACCGGGCTCGAAACATGGCGCAGAGAGATGGGGTACGGGGCTCTGGTCGAGACGCTTCACGATGCTGCATTGTTGTTGAAGATGCACCACATCCACCGCCTGGGAAGCCGGTCTCCCAGGACCCCAGGCCGCGGTGGATGTGATGCATGCGGGGCCCCGGGGGGCCCCGCAAGGGAGGCGTCCGCATCCACCGCCTCCCTCAGGTCCAGGACGGTCGGGTCCCTGGCGGTGGACATGCACCCCGAGATCCGATGTACTGTTGCTGCTGAGTGCGGGGCCTGTAGAAAGTCTCGACCCTCTTCCCCAGGGGCGTTGCTTATTCCATCCAGATGGTTCGTTTTTGCCCCTATCAAAAGTGCTTTTGGTCCATTAGAGTGTGTCTGCATTCGCCTACCACCTCGAGCACAACCAATATCACTCCGAAATCTTGGCTGACGGACAACCGGTCCGCACCGCCTCCAACCCCTTCGCGTGATCACTTTCGCTTGTGTCAGCGCACGCGCTTGTGATGAGCTCCGTCTTGTAGCCTACGTTGCAGGCGTGGACAAGGGAGGACTGGACGCACCGACTCGTCACCACGCCAGTGAAGCTCAACTCAGCGTGCTCGGGCCCGTAACCCGCCTCGGTGAGCTGCGAGAGCAACAGATGCCCCATTGGGTTCTGCCTCCCATCGTCATCCGGGTCCACGTTTTTCGGCCCACGCTCTGCCAAATCATCGGAGAAGGCATCGTCCACCTGCTTCCGGAAACACATGACCTTGGGGAAACCAAAAGGTACCGATACCGCTACCCCCCGGACCTCTCCTGGTGTGCGTTCTGACCAGGATTTCGAAGCGAATCCAGCGGTGGCGACGAGGGCCTCCCAGGAGGCCCAAAAAAGGGAAAACGAGGGAAGGGTAGAGGTATGGGTACCTGTTCCTCCTCTGAGACCTTCTTCGTCCCGACTTTGAAAATACCTGGGCCGTGTCTGGCGCAATGGGGGTTGTGCATGAACCGGTCGTGCGTGTCTGTCCCTGCTCCCTTGGCCGCAAGCGTGAGGAATTCGCCGTACGGCACGAGCGCAACCTCCTTGTTCGGGTCCGACCACGGTTTGTTATCGAGGGGGAACACGCCTTTTGCCTCGGGATCGAGATAGTCATGCGTGTACAAGACGAGGTCCCAATCCACTGTCTCAACCAATTCGTTGATGCGGTTCACCACTGGTCCGATGACAGCCGTTGGCAATCCAGTGTTCCAACCCTTGTTGTACGAAATCTGTTTTTTTGCCAGGCTCGAACTTCGTGACAGGCTTCATGGTGTGGTTGGCGTTCCATGCGCCCAACGCGTAGCTTTGGTCCACGTCGTGTTCCTGATTGATGTAAGTGAGCCCACCTTTGCCTGACGCGTTCGCTACGATTGCGGCATCGTACCCGCCCTGCACGTCGATGACGACCAAGACACGCTTCTTCTGCTTCGGGGGGCCGTTGTACATATCCCGAAACGGCGCCCGCTCGGCGCACGGCATGGTGCCCGTGCCGTCCATGTCCAAGCGGAAGCACTCCGCCTTTGTCTTGTAGACGAAGGCGCCGTGGTCACCCGCACCGAGCTGCCCAGCGTGGCGCCAGGCAAAGCTGTCGGCCATGGGGCTCATGGCAGAATAAGCCTGAGGACCGGGGTACATCAGACTGCTCTCGGGACACGCAACCTCGACCTTCGACGGGAAGTGGAGGACCACCGCCCCCTCCTCTTTTGACACGACCTTCATGACGCCCTTGATGGCCCACAGCTTCCCCGACAGACTGTCCTCCGAGCCATCACGCCTGACGTAAAGGAAAAAGTGGTTCCCTGCAATGGAGACGAAGCCAAAGCTGTCCGTATAGCAAGTCATGCCCGGGATCTGGACAGTTATTTCACCGAAGCCACCCGTCTCGATCCGCTGAGCCTTGAAGGTGGGCGTGGAGATGAAGTCACTGAGACTCTTAAGGAGGGCGTCACCCGGCTGAATACTCTTCAAGTACAATGTCACACCCTCTGGATGGCCTGGAGTCGGGCTACTCGAGTTGTGGCTGTGCACCTTGAGCACCTTCCCCTCATCATCGAAAAACGACGACGGCCTGTACGAGAATACGGGCGACCCGAAGAGGGCGCAAGCGAGTGCAATCACAGTGGGGCTCATTGTCTTGGTCCTACGTTCGGACGCGTTTCTTTGTGAAGTGAAGAGTTTTTGAGCAAACCTTTGCTGTTTGAACCCAAATTGCTACGGACCATGCCACATAAGTTGTTGATGACCCAGGGTGCCCAAACGGCCGAGGTCCCCAGAGGCCGAAAACGACGAACAACCTACGCTTTGGTCTTGATCAGGGCGCTGAATGTCTTTGTGCAAATCCTGGCCTGAATGTCCTACCGATGCGCGGCTAGATGAGGATGGGTCGGGAGGGGGGGGGAGGGAGGGGGGGGGGGGGGGGGGGGGGGGGGGGGGGGGGAGGGGTGGGGGGGAGGGGGGGGGGGGGGGGGGGGAGGGGGGAGGGGGGGGGGGGGGGGGGGGGGGGGGGGAGGGGGGGGGAGGGGAGAGGGGGGGGGGGGGGGGGGGGGGGGGGGGGGGGGGGGGGGGGGGGGGGGGACCTGGCCTGATGTCCTACAAATGCGCGCTAGATGAGGATGGTCGGACGTAAATAGAACACACCTACACGCACATACACTCTACATGCCATGCATATACCACACATAAATGCAAACAGCATCACCTCGACATAACACACATACACATACATACATATAGCTACATGTATCCACATGCACAAACATGCATACATGCGGACATACGCATTCAGAACATGCAAGCCCAATTTGTGCGAACAGAGACGCACACCGAAGCATGAGTGGCACTGCGAATCCCTCATTGTCACTGCGCGCGCCCACTTGGCTTCTGGAAACTAACCCCTCCATGGAGCATCGTTCCTGGATAGATGAACGCCGTTTCTGGATGGGCTGGTGATGTCGCTTCGGGGTGGGCCAGGGCAGGCTGACATCGCTTCTGGATGGGTTTGGCTGGCATCGTTTCTGGATAGGTTGGCAACTGGCATTGCCTCTGAATGGGCTGGGCTGGCATCGCCTCTGGATGAGCTGGCTCGACCGCTGTTCTTCGGGTCCCAGCGGCTGGGCTGACAGTTCAATATCTGCAGTTCCGAGGCTGGACGGCTGGCGACATCGGAGAATCGTTTCTGGATGGACCACCGTTTCTGGAAGACCTGATGGGGGTTCTTTGATGTTTTCACCAGGAGGCGCAGGTGCAGCTTTGGCTTTGGCCTTCTTGTTCACGTACCACCTGTCCTTGGCCAGCTGCGCGTGCCGCTGCATGAGCTCTCGCCGCTCCGCGGCGGACGCGCCAGGGGCTGCTGCTGGCACCTCGAACAGCCAGGTCTTCAAGACCTCGTCCGATGGGCACCGACTCTCGCCGATGCACAGCCTGCAGCCAGCATGCATACCCGCCACCGTGCCTCGAGGCACGGAGTGGGCGTGCCGTCGGGCTTTCTGCCGCATCCCTTGAATTTCAGGCTTCAACCCCGAGGAATCATCCAGGGGACCAGCGCCCAACTTGTAAAATATCTCTGGTCCACCCGCGTGCAGGCGCGTCACTATGCATCACGTGGTACGTGATCGGTACCACTGGAAGCATACTGACGGCATGCCCCAAGTGGTACTTCATCGGTCCCACTTGAGGCATACAACGGGCATGCCTCAAGTGCTACCTACTCGGTACCACTTGAGGCATATTGCCAACATGCTTCAAGTGGTATGTTGCTCGGTACCACTTGAGGCAGATTGGCGACATGCTCCGAGTGGTACTTGGTCGGTACAACTTGAGGCATGCAACGGCCATGTCCCAAGTGACACGTATTCGGTACCACTTGAGGCATAGTGCAGAGATGCTTCAAGTGGTACTTGTTCCGCTGGCGAGGCGCATCGGAGGGCGGGGCATACTGCCGACATATGCCCCCGACCGACAACTCAGGCGCGGTGGCGGGATGCGCCGAAGGCCAGTATGATAGCAATTCACTGTCACGCTGTCGGCAGGATGACCGCGCAAAATGCGCAACACCTGGCGACCATCCATGTGGAAGTATCCACTCGGCGTCGGGCCAACGAGATCATGCGGCCCTGGCGGCGGCGGCGGGAGCGGCGCCGCAGGCGCGGGCGGCTCCTCGGCCTCGCCAGGCTCAGGCTCCAGGCCGACGTCAGCAGCGCCGTCTGCCGCTCCAGCTGCGATCTCATCGGGTACTTCAGCTGGTACCCCAAGAAGCTCAGCACCGCGAGCATCGCCATGCTCGTCCAAGTCCCCGCCGCCCTCGCCGACCAGTCCTGGGGGGTGCCCCTCGATGACGCCGTCCTCCAAGCCGAACGTGTCGCCCAGCTCCTCCATGCCGTCGAGGTCGGCATCCTCGGCCTCGTGTTCCAGCATGTCCATCTCCTCGCCAATCGCCGCGCCAGCTGGTAGCAAGTCGTCGACCACCGGCGGCATGTCAACGTCGTCGACGTCGCCGTGGGCGTCGGGGCCGCCGCCGAGACCCTCGCCATCTACGGCTCCGTGGCCGCGGCCTCTGCCTGCGCCCCCTCCGCGGCGGCCGCCGCGCCCAGCGCCGCGCCCAGCGCCGCGCCCAACACCGCGCCCAGGAGGCGTCTCCAAGGGGTCGCTGGTGTTCAGCTCCCAGGTCGGACGCAGAAGGCCCACGGCTGCTGGGGCTCTGGTACCCGAACGGGCGCGTCATCCCCGCCCTCCACAGCTCACCCTGCAAGTGCACAGCTGAGATCCTGCTCCACTTCAGACTGTTATCAACATCGACATCCACGCCGTAATCCACTAAGTACAAATCCATGTCGATCAGGTTCCGAACCAACTTCAGTACAAAGTGAACTGAAGATTCATAGCCAATACAACGAAATCGGCCAGCGCTCCTACAGTTCTGAACATCGATCTCCACAAGACACGGCGTGTGTAGCACGTCGCTGCGGGCATTCGCTCTCACTTGGAACGTGTTCGGTGCGATATCAAACACCTTGGGTCGATGGGCAACCTAGGAGCACAGCGCACGGCGCCCTGAAGGAGGATGAGGCGGAGAAGGAGGATGGGGAGGAAGGGAAAGGGTTTCTTAGGCGGCGTCTTGGCTTCAATCTCGCCTCCCCGCTCCCCGAACCGTGTGCCATGGGTGGTCACCAAGAGGGAGCGGCATGATTCATCATGGAGACTGGTGTCTACCGCGGCTCTCCTGAGAGCCTGAGGGTGCTCTTGGGCGGGGGGGGAGGAGGAGGAGGAGGGGGAGGAGGAAGAGGAGGAGGGGGAGGAGACGGAGGAGGAGGATGAGGAGGATGGGCGAGGATGGGCGAGGAGGAGGAGGAGGAGGAGGAGGAGGGAGATGAGGAGGATCCCAAGACCGTGATATTGTGATGCTATGCTGTCCCAAGAACCCAAGATGGTCGCAAGACGGCGTCACAGGCGGCGCCCCCCGATAGCCCCCCCCCAAAAAAAACGGCGCGCAGACTGCCACCTCGAGAGCCTTCAGAGCGTGCTCAGAACCCCTCTTATTACAATTTGACTCCCCCCGTGGAATTCCGTGGCCAAGGCAACTCGTTCGGATGTCGGTCGTTCATGGATGGGCTGACAGGGGTGCATGTCTCATGTCGTTTCTGATGGGCTGGGGCATTGGCAATATCGTCTCTGGATGGGATTGGTCGTTAGTGGATGGGCTGACGGGGATGCACTAGCGGACGTCGGGCACATCAGATTTCTGGATGGGCAGTGGTCGTTTCTGGATGGGCTTAGGGAGGGCGGTTACATATTAGCGGACGCATCACCTTCGGATTGTAAAACGTGCCCGAAATGATACCCACGAAGCGCATTCGGCTGGCTGGGTTCTCCAGTGAGTGGCCCTCCACCATGATCATCACGTCGCCGACATCGGCGGCGGGTCTCGTTAAACGTGCCAGGAGGTTGTGAATGCCATTTTCTATCAAATGGAACTGCTGAACGTTTGGCACCGTTGCCCGAGGAACAGGCCGAGCGTTCCTGCCGCAGCCCCACAGGCTGAAGTCTGGAAGGTCAGGGATGGGCTCAGCGCGGACGACCAGGTCGTCGGCAGCATCGCACTCGAAGTCTTCCTGCTAGGCGGAAGCATCCGAATGCGATCTGCTGATCCTTCTCTTACTCTTCCTCCTTCTCCTCTTTCTCCTCCTCCTCCTCCCTCCCATCCAGCCTCGATCCCCCTCCCCCCCCCCTCCTACTCCTCCACGTGCTCCTCCTACTCCTCCTCTCCCTCCTCCTCCCATGCCACCGTGAAGTTTGCAAAATTGTACACCCGCATGTCCTTGGTCGGCCAACCGTGCAATTGATGCCACTCGTAGAACTCCTCGCAGGAGATCGGGGACGAGCGGCAACCTCGACCCCAGGAAGTGGCATACGCGGGCGCCTGGGCATCAGCGGGCACCATCTCTGCAAGCGTGTTCTGCCAATCCTCGAAGGCCTCGTGGTGAGCGTCATGATTCATGAGCTGCCACTGTTCCCTGAACCTGCTGCGAGCCGTGCTCAGCTCCTCGGGCGTCAAGGCGGAGCCCTTCGCCCTCTTCAGACTCGCCAACGTCTTGTTCAATTCCAGCATGCACGGGCTCAATCCGCGCCGACGGGGTGGCAGAGGTCCGCCGCCGTCGCCGTCGCCAGGTGGCCCGCCGCCGCCATCGGCCCCGCCAGCTCCCACCGCCCTCGCGCCCGGCAGGATGGAGGCGTTCGCCAGCGCGATCTCCACGGGGCGGTCGACGGCCACGGGCTCAGGCGCCGCGGCGCTCGCAGCAGCGCCATCGGGCCCACCTGCAATTGGAAGAAACTCAGGCCGAGCAGCGGCAATGAGTGGCTGCACCTGCACTCGAAGGTCCGACGACTTCAGGGCTGCATCTCGCTTCATGCTCAACGGGTCGACGCCACCGCATTTCTTGTGCACGGCGAGTGCCTGCTGCAGCAGCTGCTCCCTGGACGCCCCACCGAAGACGCGACCTGGCGCACGATGCACTCGACCAGCCTGAATCTCCGCGTTGAGCCTCTCGATGATGTCGGTGGAGAATCCGAACGTGCGAAAATCAGCCAGCAATGTTTTCCTGCACGCCTCACTCATCAGCAGAGGCACGGTGTTG